CTCCTCTCTCCTCTCTCTTCATCTCTCTCTCTTTCATATATATGTATATACTAATATATATATATATACTAGTATATAGTTATACACTGTATAGTATATTAGTACATTTTATATATATATAATATATATATATAAAGTGTACTAATATTAAATTATTTATAAACTGTTGATGCACTCAGATATTGTTTCATAGAAGCAAGCAGTTCATTGAAGATGTGCACGTTATGCGTATGTAATAATGTTAGATGGATTTTATTGAGTAAATTGTCAGTAAATCTTAATTCAGATGGTCGTACTCTATGTTAAACTGCATTACAAAGTAACAATCCACTGTAATAACAACTGTATAACAACTGTAATAACTGTAATAACTGTATGTATTTCTAAAGGGGATTATAAGAAATTAGTGTAGTCCTCGTCTAGAGGAGAATTATATGTAAAGTTGAAACTATGGCTACTCTAACCATGATACATGCTTGCATGTTGGATGTGCATTATGCTGCGTGTGGTGAGAACGTTTGCGCTGACACATTTTCCTTCTTGCATGCCCTTCGCAGGCATGTGTTTGCAAGTGTTTGCCCAAACTACATCCAAGAATTTATCTACATATTATTAATGATTACTAATTGATTTCATTACAATATAACCAAAAATACGTCACTATTATGGTAGATGATCTATTTTTGATATTATCAAGAGTCCATAATAGAAGTGAATAGATTTACAATAGAATCTTCTATTATGGACTCTTGATATTATTAATATCAAGAGGTAATAATACGTGTATTGTTAGCTCTTGATAATATGTAGATAAGTTACTGGTGTGCCTAATAGCCAAATAATTTAGTATATATATATATATTATATATATATATATATAATAATATAACCCCTACCCCTATCTATTTCTCTATATATCGTTTATATATATTTTATATATATATAGAGCGCAGAGGAGAGAGAGAGAGAGAGAGAGAGGAGAGAGTATAGTTATATATATATAATATATATAATATATATATACTATACTATATTATACTCCTCTCTGCTCTGCTTTGTCTCTCTATATAATAGATATATCATAGACGACCGCGGAGAGAGATATTGTATTATCTTTACTTCTCGCAACAGACTATATTCATGGTGTACCGGTACTTTCTACCTCTAATCTGTTGTAGAGCGCGCGTCATATTGCTTTTATCGAGTAATAGCATCGGTAAATTCAAACACACCTACCAGGGCCGTTGTCGGCGAATATAATTAGCTTACAGTGATTTTATACCTGAATAACTCGGCCCGCCGTTATGATTTAGAAAGGTATCCTGGATACAATGACATCAAAAGCTCGACCTGCTACCGTATGTGGTGATTCATGGAAAATCCTTTCATGCACAATTTGTTGACATGACATGGCCATATAAAATGCGACTGAACGATTATGGCATGGCCACGTGTGGCAAAATAACTGGGTTCGACGTATTCATGTTTAAATAAATTTATAATGTATTACATTATTTACCGGCCTACAGGCCATGAACAAATCGTATACAGTCAGGAGGATGACAGGATATCTTAGTGTTATATTTACTCCTGATACAGATGTGTATGCGTGCTTTCTTCCGTGCGCTGCGTGCGTAACGTCGGCGTGCCGTGCGTGCGCAGTATATATATATTATATATATATATATATATATATATATTATATATAAATCGGTACAGGTCCGGTGATAGATTACGCGTATGAACAAAATGGAAAACGGAAAACTCCCTTTTCTAGTTCCGCGTAGTTTCCCCTAAAGGCGTCATCTGTATCCTATCTTAAGATTAGTCATAGAGTATTAGTCTAAGAGTATCTGTCTTAAGCATGAGGTACTTCGAGCCGCTAGAATGCATGCGAACATCTGAAACACGCAAGCTGAGATCTGCTGTAAATTGTTTTATGTAGGTAGATTGCAATTGCATACCTAGTATAAGGTGATTAGGACTTACTTCGTTCCAGTCTCAGAAAGCAGAATCTATAAGTTAACGTCATTGGTAGCCACATTAGTTTATAATAAAGCTGGTCACTCGTGCTTACATTGTTGCATGCTCATCTAGCTATGTATCAGAGATGCGTATGATGATGACACAGTTTTTATAGTATTAGAGTCTTCCGTGCGTTTCTATATATATATAAATGATCTGTTTGTCACTAAAACTTGTATCTCACAGAGATTCTACTAATCAATTTGCATTAACTGACACTGCAGGGTTAGAGGAATCATGCAAATTTAATTAAAGCAACTCAAAACGTGTCAATATAATTGCTCAAAATACTAAATCATGTGAGCTGAGTGGGCATCATCTATGACAGCATTATTATGAGAGTATTTTTATACATATTTATAAGCTACTTTGATTGCGAGAGAAGCTGGCAGGTATCGTTGCGACTGTAAAAATTACATATTGTATGCGGTGTGACTCGACCATGCGACCTGGCAAGACCAAGTTAGACATAGATACATCATACACTATCCTAGATCAGGCAAGATTAGTACACAATATATAACAGCTAGTAACACTACTAACACAACTAAGCATACTTTGACACTCGATTTTTGATTATCCACAAATCATTTATACAATTCTTGAGACAGCATGCAAGAGTCGCAGTTAGAAGTAGCCCAGCTGACTGTGAACTCACATGTAATAAAATTAAGTATTATATTGACAGCATATCAACTACCATTATCACAAAATTTGTATACACATATGTATATAATATATATATATATATATATATATATATATATATATATATATATATATGCGCACGCACGCACGCACGCACGTACGCACGCACGCACGGAAGAATGCACGCATACACACTGTATCAGGAGTAAAATAACACTAGATATTCTCATCCTCCTGACTGTATAGATTTGTTCATGCCTGTAGGCCTATATGTAATACATTATAAATTTATTTAAACAATAATCGTCGAAACCCAGTTATTTTGCCACACGTGCCATGCCATATCGTTTCAGTCCATTTTATATGCCATGTCATGACAACAAATTGTGCATGAAAGGATTTTCATGAATCACCACATACGGTACAGGTCGAGCTTTGTGTATATGTACCATACCTTTCTAAATCATAACGGCGCCGAGTTATTCAGGTATAAAATCACTGTAAGCTAATTATATTCGCCACAACGGCCCTGTAGGTGTGTTGTAATTTACCCGATGCTATTACTATAAAAGAATATGACGCGCTCTTAAACACGATTAGATAAAACTCGACACCATGGAATAGTATTCTTTGGCGAATTGAAAGTAAATAATACAATATCTCTCTCCCTCTCTCTCTCTCTCTCTCTATATATATATAGAGAGAGAGAGCGAGAGAGAGAGAGCGAGAGAGAGAGAGAGAGAGAGAGAGAGAGAGAGAGAGAGAGAGAGAGAGAGAGAGAGTCAGAGATATTTCTAATATAAATATTTCTACATAAAGAAACAAAAAGAAAGAATACCCATTCTCCCCCGATGATGAGGAGCCTCGACATTGTAGATCGACCATGTTCAATGAGTGAACTCTGCACATCATTGGCTGGATTCTAACATAAAGAATTAATAATATCTGTGAGTATTCTAGTAATTATAGTGTGAACTTAGATGACATCACCATAGATCAGATAAAAACTTCCTGCACAGTAATTAGTAAGGTGATGGCAATACATAATAAAACTTATTATTGAACTTTAATATTTAAAATTTGCATGCAATTTAGAACTACACAAATACAGGGTATACCATGGCAGCACATTACTTACTTGGGAGCAACCCGTGTGAAATTGCACCTATTCACAGTGTTGCTACAAATGTAAAAGCTTTTACCCTTGTTTGGCCCATCACGAGTGCCAGTCTTAAGGAAGCATGGTGATTCTTAAAGTGAAAAATTAAAAACAGAAACAATCTACAGGTTAGGGTATAGAAGAAAATATCCATACAAACAAACTTTCCAGTCACACAGAAATTACAAACTTGTCTTGGTACATCCCCAGCAATCTAGTGGTGATTAAGTGGTTAGTAGTGTGCACAGTTTTTGATCGGTTTGATAGTAGTGTGCCGTAGTAGTAGTGCTCACAGGTAGGTATTCCAATCACAGCTAGGTATTTCAACCATGGATTTGTATCTAGATCACAGGTAGGTGTCTCAGTCACGCTCGTAGGGTCTATGTCCCCCTGACCTCTGTTTGACCTGGCTCGTTTAGCTATTTCTGACGGGCAATGCTTATATGATGGGCAAGGTGTGAACATACCTGTGCAGCTTCTCGATGGCGTCGGCCGTGACGGCGGCTACTTCCCTTCGCCGCGCTGCATTCATTCTGCCGCCATCGTACAGCGTGTTCAGCTGAGGATTGTCTGCAATGAAGCCATTGTTATGCTGGCAGTACGGAGGCTGAGATAGATAAGATATGATATGCACATCATCCCAAAATTAACACACAACACCTTCACTACAGTGTTTAAATGTCACAAGAAACTCCCAGACAATAACAGTCTAAGCCAGATGATAATAAATCAACACAAAATAATTGTATAAAACATTACACTTGGTCTAGTTGATAGCTGCTGGTAACTCACCAATTATTTGTACAGTATTATACACACAATGTAGTACAGGTGGAGTCTGAAAGAGCCTAGCTATTAGCCAAACACCTTTTACACTAACAAAAATTGGAAACTACATAAGAATGTCAAAATTACCGATAGAACCTACTAGCTAAGCCTAAACTTCCGAGCAATTCTCAGTTGAGTTCAGTCAACCTACCTCCATACATCTGCTGAAACACATGTGGTGGGAGAGGAACAGCATGCGTGAGAATGAGGGGCTGAAGACTATTGCCTGACTGCTGCGCTACCATATTTGCTGTCTCCACCTTAGATGACACTTTCCCTGCAGCTGTTGGAACTGTGACACACACAAAATGCCTTTGTTAAAAGCACATCCAAGAAACAGGTATAAGAAGTTTTCAAATATTGAACATGATCGGTTAAAAAAAACATTTTGAAAGTCAGTATTCACTCACTTTGGGAAGTATAGTTTGATTCGGGCTGGCAGCCCATGGTCAGTTTATTGTTGTTTACAGTTGGTTTGTTATTATTAAAATAAATAATGAAGCATTGCTCACAATTTACTATATTCATAACTCCAATATTTGCAACTCAGGGACTTCCTGCAAGCATGTTGGTTCTATTTGAACAGATGAGGTATTTACAGCATATCAAAAACAGACAGCTGTCGAAATCTTCTTCAGGGTGAGGGTTATAGTTTAACAGGGTTTTGAGGGGAAAGGACATGAGATATGCTCCACACTACATGCATCCAGGGAGCATAGGGAAAACATACCACTCTCTAGTGCGTGGGGAACTCGCAGAGCTATTGCTGAGATTCCACGTTGAAGCTCATCAATATCATCTAGTAATTTCTTTCCACCATCTGGAAGGCCTTTGCCAGCGCAATGAAATAGTCTCTGTCAAAAGAAAAGTGGTGAAACAGGCATTTACACTATAATATAGTCACATCTTGGTCATCACTACCAGCCACGACATCCTGCTACACAAGTCACACTTTCTTTACCAGTTCTCAAGTAGCGCACATGTTGACAATTCAATACCTTTTTATCATCCATCCTCTTTTGCATTTGCTGTTGCTGTAGCAGCAGCTGTGACTTGCTCATCAGGGTTTGATTGTACTGTGAAATCGCCATCGGTGGCCTCTTGTCGCCCCGACTCACAGCAGCTACGCCATCAGAACCCTTAGTTGTTTCTCGTTTCCCTGTCACACTGTCATTCTGTGTTACCGACTTCACAGTAATCGTGCCGCTACTCGAGGAACCAACAACGCCAGGTGGTGGTGCCCTATCCTCACTGTGTGGCTGGTGTGATGTTGAAGAAATCTCCTTAATGAACACGCAGCCACTGTCGTCTGAAAATGAGTCGCCTTTTGTGTTGGTGGATGCTGTTGATCGAGACATGTAGGCACTGTCAGCCTCTGCTTCACCAGCACTGTATGCATCATCATGGTTCCCACCATCGTTATCACAGTCCCGGCTGTCATCACCATCGTCATGGTACCTGACATCACCATCACCGTCGTCACGATCCCTGCCGTACAATCGATATGATATCATGAGCATATTAATTTATATTATTACATAGTTACTGATGCACTCTTGATGATATGGTAACATATAACCACATTATCAGCATATATTGAAACATTTCAACTCAACGTCTGCCTCGTTACTGCCATTCTGCCCTCTGCTATGCAGTCCATGTTGGCGCAGTTGCTGAAGAGGTTGCTTGACCTTCACAAGGATGCTCGTCGCGGATGGTCGTACCGGCGTCTGCCGCAGGGACCGTCTCTGTCTAACCACACCTGCTTGCCTCGCAGGTGGCAGATCGGGTTGTGGAAAACTGAAACAAGATTAATAGTCATACAATTTTAGAGCAACACTTTAACACTGTAATCATCACCTGGAGGCAAATCACCGTAAGTTCATCATCCAATCACATTTTGCCAGAAAGGTTTTATCTGTTGCTTAAGGTATGGGGAAAACAATAGGCTTCAGCTTACTCTGAATTCAGTTTCAACTTTTCCACGTTCTTGCGAATTGCATCTGTATTATTGTCTATCTTGCTCAAAAGAGCTTCGACCGTCAGTTCTTCATCATGGCGATTGCATCCCTCCAACCAACTACCCGTGCTGCATTTACTAGTGTTTTCATCCATAGTTTCATCACTACCATCACTACCAATCGGTAGGATGCCACCAGCAAGGCAAGGCTGGTCACAGCAACGCGCTGTTTCCAGCTGCTGGGCATGCAAGTCCTCAGACACAATATCCGTACAACGGTTACGTTCTGGCATTGTATGCGATGTCTTTAGGATTGCTGTGTTATTGTTGAGGCCGTTCACGACGGTCATGATGTCTTCTTGATTCTCCAAAGGAATGTAAAGCGTTTTCAGAAAAAGTGTGTCGTTCGACCATAGCTTGTTGGCACGTTTAATCTTTTCTACCTGTAAAACACAATTTACAGCATCTCAATTAAGCATAATAAATGCAAATTGTGCAGAAAAGACTATATATACATCCAGCAATTTGAACAACAACAATACATACAACAACAGTCTGAAAAATAAGCATTTTTGTTAATTAATTTATAATATAATCAAGAGTACATAATAGGAGTTAATTAATTCTCCTATTATGTACTCTTGATATAATATAGTGAGGCACAAAAATTTCAGCAAATTTTTAACTTACACAGGGGCGTATTACTAGTGTGGCTGGAGGCCATGGGGCAGCTGCATGGTTAATAGCGAATTACCTACATATACCTGCCTAGAACATAATCCGCACATGGATTTGTTCCCCAGGCAAAATGGGTTAGCTCCACCCATGTACATAAATATTTTAATCAATTGTGGACAATTTCCAATTTGATTACCTTGTTAATAGCGAAGAAATTTAACAGAGAAGAAATTAACAGAGAAGACCATTAACAGAGAAGAAAATGCAATATTATAAAGAATAAATAAAGTTGAATGATTTAGATCCTACCACAAGTCTAGTTTAATCAATCAATGGCTATCTACCTGACTTTGCAGTGTACATTTGTTGGACTGATGTACCAGAATATATATTTGGCTATAATATATACACACTTACTTTACTGCATATACCTGCATGCCTGCCTCGCAGTTTGCCTACCTGATCACGTAGCAAACTCCTGAATTGTGTATATAACTACTGCAACCTACTATGCTCTGTACACGTCTCACAATATGCTACAAAATTCTTTAAATATTACAACAAGTGTTGTGCAAACATGTGTAAAATACAGCATTTGAAATATTCACCCAAACAATATGTCACACCGGTTTGGTTGGTTTTGAGAGAGATGCAGGCATCGTGAGGGTTGCGCTGAGAATTAAGAAAGCTCAAGCTACTCACTTTCAAATACTTGAATAAAGACGTTTGTAGCCCCCTGGCTACAGCCATGTGATTGCACATTAGATATCAACATCGAAAACATTCATCTGTATGCAGAAGACGTTTTCATCTTGCTAATATCGTTTTGCACGAATACGATCATATATATTTTCCACCTGCCATTATATTTCCCCCATAATTTTATATAGAGGCTTTCAAACCACATGAACTGCACAATTTTTATGAAAGTTAGTAACATAACTATCTGACTCACCAAAGATTCTCACTATCTAAAAGTAACGGTTGGACTGATAGCTCTACGACTACATCGTACCACGTTACTTCACCACATGCATGATGTCTTGTAGGGAAAAAATTAAAGGGCTAACTGTAGGGTAGAGCTATTAAAGTATAAGTTGGATAGATGTTGTAATAAATAAGATTTTTGAAGCATAACTGGAGCCAATCATTTAATTCACTAAACCCGATACCCAAACACATGTATGTGAAGATAACCATGCATGCCATAACCCATGCAAGTAACTGCAACAGAACTGCAGGTTTGTTGGTGGGTGTGACAACAAAGTAAATATACAGACAAGATAGGGTATATAAGCCATGTTTGTTTCTCAGTCTGTAAATATCTCTAGTATTATATCTTTCTTTGGGTAAAGGCAAGGATACACTGCATGACAACAACTAATCATAAAATTATGTAAACCAAAAACCATAAGTGTGAAATGTGCAGCTAGTTGGAACCCATACGGTTTCTAATTTCCCCAAAAGTTAAATGTTATAGTATGAGGTTATCTTTGGGGGTGTATTTTGGCCTTAAATCATTAATTAATGATAGCTTCTCCTGGCAATTAATCAGGAGGGCTGTGAAAGACAAGTAAGAACAGACACCGATAGTTGATAACCTAGATGTAGAAGCATGAAGGAAAGAAGGATATCCTTATCAGCCTATACCTATATATCCTAGTTTTGACTACTGTATTATGCTAAATGGGAGTGACCCACTCTATTGAGCTTGGAATTGACTGTAGCATACAAGTTAGTAGTCTACATAGCATGGACAGTGGAGCATAAAGTGGGTTAATTATAACTGGTAACAGTAAGTGGACAGAGTTGTCGTGCTATAGCCATAGACATAATTTATACCTCCAAGTGTAAACCTACAATGGTGATTTCACATGCCATATTATAGTCACAAGTGCTTGGTTTGCTTTTCACTGCATAGAGAGAGACTAGCTCCATCACTGTAGCTTTCATCCATCTGCATTATGTCATTATGTGTAACTTATAGTGGCCATATGGAAGGATTGCAGACTACTTGTTACAATGTTAGCCAAAAACACAATGTAACACTTTACAATGTCGAATACCATATATAACATTGTATAACATATATAACCATGTATAACATTCATATATTTTTCTTGGCTTGCTAGAGCCACGAGCCATGACCTATGTATACAGTCGCAAAGTGTGGTCTAGCTATAAGTTATTCTACCCGTGTAGCCCCTTCGCTCCACTACAGGAGCCCGAAGAGGCTTACTGGTAGAGCTAGGTCCGATTAGTGATAGTTCTGTGCCTGTATGCAGACAGTGCCGCGGCTAACGTTCATACACATCTTTCTCAATATGGTCATTACATTATTCATATTCACATCACGTCACCGTAAGAGTAACATGCAGTCACAGACGTGATGTACGTGCCACGGTCAGCGAGTCACATCATATTCACAGTCATATTTTTCTCCAATAAGGTCTTTCGCTGTATGACCGTTTCTTGGAGCCATATGTCACTAGAGCAATATTGCAATAAATCTTGAACCTGTAATCTTTTTTAACCCGACACTATCCTGGAATAGCGTCAGATTAAAACTGTTTATAGGACACAATTTGTGTTAATACGTACATAGTGGCTATATGCCCGGCAGCCGGCATATATCTGACGGCTGCCGGGCACGGTCTTCGATTTCCTAAATGCCCGGCAGTTTTTAATTTTCAGCGTTATCTCAAGTAAACAAGGATTAGGGTTAGGGTTAGGGTTAGGAACTGCTGGGCATTTAGGAAATCGAAGACCGTGCCCGGCATATAGCCACAGCGTAATACGTAGGCCCTATACAATAATGTAACACGACAAGAGTAGGGGTATACCTACTCATGTTGTACAGACTCTTGTTGTACTCAAGAGTGGTACCGCGTGTTGCCGGGTCCCCGAACTATCCTTGGTCCGTAACCCTACTCTTGTTGGGTTAAATTATTGACTATATTGTATCTAATTTA